AGCCAGGCAGCGGAAGGCGAGCGCCCTGGGCCTCTCTCCAGCGCCCTCTGCTGGCAGAACCGGGACGCAGTGCGCGCAGACCCCCCCTTTTCGGGAAATAAGCGCGGTGGGCGAAAAACCGACAACGCCCTGCAACTTCGTTAGAAAACTTCCCCCAAAGGGTGCAGACCCCGCTGTCTAGACCCCAAACCAGAGCCTTGATTACAAAAAGCTTAAAGAAGGACGCGGCTGGAAAGCCAGCCTCAGATGCTCCTTTTCAGAGTGATTTCCGGGATGAGCAAGAGGTTAATTGATCAATATTAATCCTCATTTGAATCCTGACTGCGGTCCGTCTGCCCTGGGAGTTTTAAAGGCACAGATGTCGTTTTCCAATCTTTTCGATCCTCCTCGTTTTTCCGTACAAAATGCATGATGGGAGTCTTACGTCTACACAGCAGCGACTCTTAGGCCAGTTGTAAGAATCTTAAACCGGAGAGCAGCTTCAGTGGGGAGCATCCGTAATGTCACCTGCCAGAAATCCAGCTTTCAAATGGCTTCCACACCCAGAGCAATCCGGGCATGTTGACATCATCCCGTTAGATCAACTGGTCTAGAAGCTCAGAGGACAGAGGGCACACACAGTTTTTTGAGAACCTTTATTCTGAGGAGTTTTCTTGTGTTTTAATCCACTTTTGAGCGGGGCTGTGTAAAATCTAAGAGCATTTATTTAGCCGAAACCGGTTTGGCTCAGTGGATAGAGCGTCAGCCTGAGGACTGAAACCAATTAGTGAGCAAAGTAGCAGACCATCATCTCTTCCCCTAAGAAATTAATCTTTTAAATTTTTTAAATTATTCTTAAATATATATATATATATATATATATATATATATATATATATATTGATTTTTTTACTCGGAGGAAAGGAGAGGGATAGAGAGTTAGAAACATCGATCAGTTGCCTCCTGCACACTCCCTACTGGGTATGTACCCACAACCAAGGTACATGCTCTTGACCGGAATTGAACCTGGGATCCTTGAGTTCACAGGTTGACGCTATCCACTGAGCCAAACCGGTCAGGGCCTTTTAACATATTTTTTTAAATTGATTTCAGAGAGGAAGGGGGAGGGAGAGAGGGATAGAAACATCAGTGATAAGCGAGAATCATGGATCAGCTGCCTCCTGCACGCCCCCTACTGAGGATTGAGCCCTGGAGTTGGACCGTGACCTCCTGGTTCATAGGTCAACGATCAACCACTGAACCAAGCCAGCCGAGCAAATTTATTCATTTCTTATTTTTCTACTTTCCATGAGCCCACCGAATAGCAATTCTCAACACTGCATAAAACACTGGGCTGCTGGTGGGGTGAGATGAGGTAATGTGAAAGGTTTCAAAATGATTTCAAGTTTGCATCCAGTTTTTCCTTTCTTAGCTCCCTGTTAAAAATCTGTCCTGCAAGATGGCTGCCCTGAAACTTAACGCCCAGAAACCCTGATAAGGCCAGGCCCTGTCTAATGGGTAACTGGAGACTCTAGATGTGACAAGCATGTGCCTGCCTATCCAGATTCCCAGGTGTCCGGCTAGAGCCTGGTGTTGGGACACAAGGGACGATGTAGAGGGGCTGATTTGCAGCTGTTAGTGTGGGGAGGAGAGGCAGTCTGCTTGTCCGACAATGGTGAAGGAATTAATAGAGCCCCGTGACCCACCTTCCACAACAGTTAGGGTGAAAGTACATGTGTCTATATGTAAAAACACCAATTGACATGTAAATATATATGCATTATACATGTCAGGTATGTAAACACATACCTGTGTGAATACATACGCATCTATGTATGTCAAAAACGTGCTGAAGAGTACAAGAGCAAGGAGTCCCATGTGTGCAATCTGAGCTCACACCTCAACTCGGGCAAGTGCTGCCTCTGGAGAAAGGACAGGTAGGCCATGGCTGGCTAGTTCAGTTGGTTAGAGCATCGTCCTAATACACCAAGGTTGCGGGTTTGATCCACAGTCAGGGCACATCCAATAATCAGTGAATGCATAACCAAGTGGGACAACAAATCCATGTTTCTCTCCCTTTCTCTCTAATAAATTAAAATTTATTATTTTTTTAAAGGACAGGGGTAGAGATCCAGGTAATGGTAAAGGGAATTTTAGTGAAATCCAAAATGTTTTCTTTTTAAAATAGTGGCTGGACACAAATCTTTTTAAAAATATATATTTTCTATTGACTTCATAGAGGAGAGAGGGAGAGACAGTGACCCTCTGGTTCAGAGGTCAATGTGCAACCCCTGAGCCACGCAGGCCCAGCTAGAAATATTTCTCAATCTGTCTACCAGACCATGGTTCCTTCGGGACCACCACACCGATAAAGCGCTTCAGTGCAATGATTGGTTACACTTGATGTGCTACAGAATATAAAAGGTCCGATGAACTGTCATCTATCAAAAGAATATCTTACTAGGTTCTCTCTCCAGTCCAGCACTTTTGGTTCCCACTTTGTTTTATGAACTGCCCACACGAATTTAATAGCTTATGCTGACACTAATAGGCGTGTTTCTATTCAGCTCACAAATCATCTCCTCGCAGATTGTTTTCTGGAGAATAACGGACCACGAATAGGAGCTGACGATGCGAAATTGTCTCGCAAGCCACCTTTACAGAGGTGCAGACGGAGCAGTAAATAGGACTGCAGGCTGCTGTGATTTACCTTGTGCCAAAGGAGATCTCCGAAATGACTTATTCAGTCATCCCCCGGAAGGCTATAAAGCTGAGTGAGAAGAGGAATCAATAGGAAAACGCAGCCGATCTCTTGACTACCTGCGCTTCTTCCTGACCTCCTGGATGAATGAAGACAGATGCTGCAAAATGCTGAAACATGAACACTTACAAAGATGCACTGGCTAGGATTTGCATTATTCGTAATGCATGTTATTATCAAGGTCACGGACCCACTGATTAATCTTTTATTGCTTTTCATGATAATGTAGCATGTACTTATGCTCATGTCCCTTCATGCAGAAGGATCTGGAAGCCAAAGAAGTGTGAGGACCTAAATCCACCTTTGCTCACAAACATCAGGGGAGATGCGAACCTAGCGCAGTGAGGGAAGGAACGGTAGCCGGCCCCAGGCAGTGAGGCCTGAAAGAATATTGGGTCCAACAGCCTTTTGAATTCTCAAAAATGGGTTTTCATGGTGTATTTTTCTTGAGGCTTAGCCATAGCCAAGACCTAGATCTCCGTTTTAACTGAGATGTAATTCACACACCATAAAATTCACCGTAAAATTGTATAATTCAGTGGTTTTGAGTACAAGATTCTGATGCTCAAGTGACTGAAATATTATGTGCAATACACCTTTCCAAGCCTTAAAAGGAAAATGTGAACACATGGATGTGACACTCAATGGCAGGCTTGGCAGTTTAGGAAAATAACCGTTTAAAAATGGACATAAGGAAGGTAATGTATAATTTTTATAAGGAGGGTCTAGGCCGGTGGTCGGCAAACTCATTAGCCGACAGAGCCAAATATCAACAGGATGATTGACATTTCTTTGGAGAGCCACATTTTTAAAACTTAAACTTCTAACACCACTTCAAAATAGACTCGCCCAGGCCGTGGTATTTTGTGGAAGAGCCACACTCAAGGGGCCAAAGAGCCGCATGTGGCTCGCGATCCGCAGTTTGCCGACCACTGGACTAGGCATTCAAATCATATGTTAACTGGCCATAATTTGAAAAATTATTAATACACAATAAAGAGATAATATTAAAAAAAAAAAAAAAAAGGATAATGTTTTCAACAGTTAAGTCAACCTAGCTGCAAATACTCAGCCTCATAGAAGTTGTGCTTCAAAATGCCTTTGGGGAAGAAAACCATTTTTCATTATTAGAAAATGAATCAACTGTAAACTTGACATACATAATGGCATAAATGTCCCAAGAGGCAGTCTGTGCTCATCTCACTGGAGACACTCAGCGAGCAGATGCTTGGAGGGGAGCATGTTTTCCCCTCCAACGGGTTAGGATTTTCTAAGACGTCCTGGCGGGTGAGGGACTGAAATCTCAGCCACTGGGTGCCCTGAGGCCCGGGAGAGATTGCGATGAGGACCAGAAGGGGGACCTGAGGGATCGGCAGCTGGCGGGGGAGACAGGGGACACAGGAGTGGACCCCCAAGCACCCCGGATGGCTGCAACAAGACAGGCAAGACCTGCACCCACTCCCAGTGCCCGCCTGCCAGCCCTGCCACCAAGCACACACAGTCCCGGGTGAGGAAACCGAGGCCGTCCCTGAAAAGGCACGAAGGCGAACAAAACAGAAGTTCAGAGCCGAGAGTCACCTACGGCTCTTAGAGATAAAGAAAGAGGAGCAGGCCAGACTGCAAACCCTCCTGGTTCTTGCCAAGCCGGGCGGCTTTATTCAGGCCATCCGAAAGAGCATCTCCCAGAGTGGGGACCGTACATTACACAGCCAGGCAGGGCCGGGACATCTCAAACAAGTCAGTGTCCTTCAATCACCAATGGCAAGGCTGTAAGAAGAGGAGCCAGCCGGCCGGGCCAATGCCCGCGGCCCCTCTCGTCCGCCTCCACCAGCGATTCCTTCTACAATACATGGGGACTACTGCGCATTTCCCAAGCCAAACTCAGCTTTGTCAGGAGTTGCTCGGGGTCATCTAAGACTAGAAAGTGGGCAAAACCATTCTGCTCAGTGCTAACGAAGAACTAAAAAAAAAAGGGAGGGATTGTTGCTAACGATGCCGATTCCTATGGAAAGAGCCTGGCCCGCGCACACGTCTCCTGACATGTTACCGGGGACACGGTGCTCTCTCTGCCCCCCAGGGGACACGGGCCATGGCTGGGCCGGATGTCAGAGGCCAATCAGGCATCGGGAAAGTACTACGTAACAGAAAAAATTACAGTATGGAGTAACTGGGCCCGCCTCTGCCAGGGCCCCCCAAGGGCGGGCTCCCCAGCTCTCCCTGGGGAGCTGGCCAGAAAGGCTGTTCTTCAGAGCCGTGGGCACTAGTACATGGCCCGGGGGTTCTTAGTGCTGTAGTGCGCCTCGCAGGCGGCGACATAGGCAGCCTCTGGGAAGAAGTCGTCATGGTACTCGGCTAAAAACCTGCGGGGACAAAAGCAGCCTGTTAGGGGGAGGCAGGACCCCACGATCGCCCTCACGTGTGGAAGCCAATGCACCAAGTGAACGGATGGACAGAGAGGATCCAGAGACAAGGAACAGAGTGAGCGGTCTCGGAGGGAAGGCAGGAGGGTGGTGGGTGGGAGATCAACCACAGGACGTGTATGCATGTATCGATACTAGCATGCATGGCCCATGGATGTAGACAATAGGGCGGCCTGGGAGGAGGGCAAGGGGTGGGGGGCAGGCTGGAGGGGGTCAAAGGAGAGAAAAAGGGACATATGTAATACTTCCAACAATAAAGATAAAAAATAAAAAATAAAAACTGGCCCTGAATTGGGTAGATTTGACATTTGCTTTTAAAAATATATATATATTTCAGTCCTGCCGAAACTGGTTTAGCTCAGTGGATAGAGCGTCGGTCTGCGGACTGAAAGGTCCCAGGTTCGATTCCAGTCAAGGGCATGTACATTGGTTGTGGGCACATCCCAGAAGGGGGTGTGCAGAAGGCAGCTGATGGATGTTTCTCTCTCATCGATGTTTCTAGCTCTCTATCCCTCTCCCTTCCTCTCTGTGGAAAATCAATAAAATATATTTAAAAATATAGATTATAAACTCAGCAAGCGTCACTTAGAGATTCACAATGCTTTCAGGGGCCAAGTTACCCCAGAACTGAACAGTACAGCAAGTACAGAGGACTCGGGGCCCTAATTTGTCATGCTGGAAGTGGTCCAGTTCTAGCTTACAGACCAAAATGTAAACAAGGCTGACTTATGCCTGGCATGGATTTCTGACCATTCAAGAGACTACAACACAGATGCTACTCTGAAGTGTCATTCAAGAGTGGACTTTTCCTTCTTTGATTGTATCATTTTTATATTAATAGCAACTAATGATTCTCTAGTTCAGTGGTCGGCAAACTCATTAGTCAACAGAGCCACAGTTTGCCGACCACTGCTCTAGTTGATGCCTTTGGATACATTTTCAAAACCAATTACTATACTTATTTGTAAATCTTTTTAAATTACTTCCTAAAATCTCAATTTCTATTTTGTATTGGGCATATTTCACAATTAGCAGTCTTTGCTATGCTAACGTACAGCTATCTCTTCATAGTTGGTTGGCATTAATTGCTTTCAGCTTATAAAAATATTTAAAAATATTTTTTAATCTTCACCAGAGGATATGTTTATTAATTTTTAGAGAGAAGGGGGGGGGAGAGAAAGAGAGAGAGAGAGAGAGAGAGAAAATCAATGTGAGAAACATTCATCAGTTGCCTCCCACACTTTCCCCAACCAGGGATTGAACCTGAAACCTGGGTACGTGCCCTGACTAGGACTCGAACCCGCAACCTTTTCGTGTACGGGACAATGCTCCAACCGAGCCACCCAGCCAGGGCTCAGTTTACAAAACTTGTATACCAAAGGGGATTGTGGGTTTGTCTGACAGGGAGGTTGGGAGGGGAGAGGCTAATTTTGAAACTTGTTTAGAAAAAAAATGTTACCAAGTCTATCTTCACTCACGGGTACTTTATTGGAAATGGCTACTTGAAAGTATCTTTTAACAACTCCAAGACCGAGTTCTCCAGATGAGCGCTCTCAGCTCTGTGGAACTTGATTGGCTCTTGCTGGTAAGGGCAAGAGCTTCAAGAGAAGGAAGAAATAGTCAGGTGGAGAGGACAATGGGTGAGCAGGGTGCCGGCAGGAGAGGAACTGGTCAACAGACATCTGGGTGGGGGAGCCAGAGAGCTGGGCCACAGTGGGGGTGGGAGGGGAGAGGTGGAGTAAGTGATCCTGTGATGTGCTAAGTGATCCTGTGATGTGCTAAGAGATCCTGTGATGTGCTAAAATGACTGGCCCTATCAGGGGAAGGACATGCCTTTCTCTGCCTTCACTCACAAAAGAGGCTCAAGCTACAAAGTAATTAAGTTCAACACAACACTTGCAAAAAAGGAAATGCGCAATATCCATGTCGACCACCTTCATTTACCTTAACTTTAAACCCCAAATCCAACCTGCCAATGCTAATATTTAATTTAATGTTCTTGCAATAAAGAAAAGTCTAATAATTTTTTTAAAGGCACTCCGGCATAAAAAATACAAAACTAAGTTATCAATCTTAATCACTTCTACTGTAGAAATCAACTTTTTAGCACCCTCGATTTAGAAAGCAGATAAATGGTGGACAAAGGAAATCGCTTAGAAGCCCCCTCTATTACAATTACAGTTACGTGGGGAATACTGCTACTACTTAAACATCAGAGCTGGCTTCCACATCTGCGGAAGAGAAATTCAGGAAAGTCAGATAAAAGGCAGTAGACGTGACTTTTGAGAAAGTAATAAAAATACCTCAGAAAGAGATCAAAGTGCTTCAGTAAAGCCTTCAGGTTCTTCTCAGAAAAGGCCATCTTCCCAAGGATCTCTGGAAGTTTCACTGCATTAAAAAGAGAAGCAAAAACATTTACCATAGGCAGAATCTGGCAACGCTAAAGACATACCCAAGGGTCTGTTTATCCTTCTTTGACCTGAAATTAACACCTACAGTATCAAACAAAACTAAGAACTCTGAGAGAACACAGCAATAGAACAAATATCACAAATATAATTTTCAGAAAGTGTAAGATTTATTAAGGGCCTTTTTTTTTTAAAGAGGTACCTTTCAGTAATTTTTCTTAGACCCCAAAATTACATAAGCTAACAAGTGTGTTATAATGAAAGCAAAATTAAATAAAAAAGGAGGGCAGGGGGGAGCCGGAAACCGGTGTGGCTCAGTGGATAGAGCGTCAGCCTGCGGACTGAAGGGTCCCAAGTTGGATTCCAGTCAAAGGCATGTACCTTGGCTGCAGGCACATCCCCAGTAGGGGGCGTGCAGGAGGCAGCTGATCGATGTTTCTCACGCATTGATGTTTCTCTCCCTCTCCCTTCCTCTCTGTAAAAAATTAATAATATATATATATATATATATATATATATATATATATATATATTTTTTTTTTTTTTTTTTTTTTTTTAAAGAAAAGGGGGTGGGAGGAGAAGGAAGAAGAAACCAGGGACTGGGGTTCCTTACCAAATAATCTCAACAAGTGTTGGGCCCCATAAATGTACGAGGGCGGAGGCGGCTGGTCGCCTGGTGGGTAGCTGTCGGGCACGAGCTTCCAGGAGAGGACCTGGCAAAGGCACAGACAGAACGCTTCGTCATGGCATCTTACCACGCCGCCAACGATGGCCTCAACATCCGGAGTCCTGCAGCAGTCCCTGCGCTTTGCCGTTCTGCGCCCAAACACGGGTCACCCCCCACCCCCGTGCCTGCCGGCCCTCTGGCACCTCAGGAGTGGCTCCTCAGCTGGCCCAGGGAAGGGAGGAGAGTGCCAGTTTCCTGGCAAGGTGGAAGTCCTAAAGGCTACGTAGCCTTCCGACTTGCCTATGCAGCTCTTTGTGAGCATGATGGCAGGACATAGGAGGATAGAATGTGTTTTTATGCTGGAGAGGAACGAGCTACAAATTAATTAAGTTCAACACAACATTGGCAAAAAAAAAAAAAAGGCACAATATGAAATATTGTGTAGAATTCTTATGTAAATACCTAGGGGAAAATATCAAGAAGTATATAGCGAAATGTTAACATTCGTTTTTCTAGTGGGGGAATTATGATATAGGGCTCCTGAGAAGAAATACATATAAGTTTTCCATATACATTATGTACCAGCATACATATTATAGTTTTCGACTATCATTTTTCAGAACCTTTTTGCCTTTTAAATCAATCATAGGAGGATACAACTTCCCTGGAGACACTTCTAATCAACTGAAAATTATAATAAATTAGGTAGAGGACAAAATACGTCACTATCAAAATAAATATCAGCTTATAAAAATAAATGAAACTGTGGAAGAGAAGACTTAAAATTATATTAAGGAAATATTTGATTTCCTGATTTTCAACAGCTACTACTTATAAGTTAGCTGTAACTACTTAGGTCATTTTGCGCCTTTCCTTTATTGGAAATCCTGCTATATTCTCAAATGAAGCAGTAAAAAAAGAGCCCAAATATGTTTGGAGAAATATTTCTATTGTTCCAAAATCCCAGAATTGCTGCTGTTATGTTCACTTTGGAAGCTAATCTGACCTTCTGAATTGAGTAAAAATAGATGCCAACCTTGAAAATACCTACAATCTGGCCCTTTAAGGCAAGCTGCTGACCCTTCATCACCAAATGTTCTCTGCCTGGTGCTCACCTGTCCTCAGCCGCTGACACAAGGAATCCAGCCCCAGGTGACAGTCACAGAACAGCCTGCGGGCCTGAGGCGTCGCCTGAATCCTGGAGACATTCACTATCTACATCAGTTAAGTGGCCTTAAAAATCGAGTTTTAGCCCTAACTGGTTTGGCTCAGTGGATAGAGCATCGGCCTAAGGACTGGAGAGTCCCAGGTTCGATTCCAGTCAAGGGCACATGCCTGAATTGCAACTTGATCCCCAGCAGGGGGCGTGCAAGAGGCAGCCGATCATTGATTCTCTCTCATCACTTATGTTTCTCTCTCTTCCCCTCTCTTCCTCCCTAAAATGAATTTAAAATTATACATACATATATATTCTTTTTAATTTTTGTTTTAAAGGGAGAGTTTTAGAATGATGCTTTCCGGGGCTGGCTGGGTGGGAAGGGATCAATCAAAGAACTTGTATGCATAGATGCATAACCCATGGACCCAGACAATTGGGTGATGAAGGCCTGGGGCAGGGGGCAGGGGTGGGCTAGAAAGGGGATATAAGTAATATTTTCAACAATAAAGATTTTAAAAAATAAAATGAAGTTTCCTCATCTATAAAACAGAAATCCGGTGCAAGGAAAGAATACGAGGTAATTTAAGTCAAGGGCCTGGCATAATGCGGACACAGCATGCCTCAAGGGGATGGCTGTTAATGTTATTGAGGACGAATTTTATATTTTTAAGTGGCTGGAGAAATAGCAAAAAAAAAAACAACGTCTCATCACACTTGGAAATGACCTGATATTCAAATGTGTGCGCGTATTCAGGTCTTAATGGGACAGCGCACTTGTTCATTACATAGTGCCTATGGCTACTTTTGGAGTTGGGCAGTCCTGTCAGACACTGTGTGGCCAAAGCTTCATATATGTTCTCTGGCCTTTTGCAGAGAAAGTGTTCTGATGCCTATTCTATAAAATGAAAACACAGGCCCTGGCTGATTTGGCTCAGTGGATGGAGCGTCAGCCTGCGGACTCAAGGATCCCAGGTTCAATTCCAGTCAAGGGCATGCACCTTGGTTGCAGGCACATCCCCAGTGGGAGGTGTGCAGGAGGCGGCTGATAGATGTTTCTCTCTCATCGATGTTTCTAACTCTCTATCCCTCTCCTTTCCTCTCCGTAAAAAATTAATAAAATGTATTTTTTTTTAAAAATTGCTCTGGCCAGTTTGACTCAGTAGATAAAGCGTCGACTGTGGACTGAAGGGTCCCAGGTTCGATTCCAGTCAAGAGCACATGCCTGGGTTGCAGGCTCGATCCCCAGTAGGGGGCATGTAGGAGGCAGCCGATCAATGATTCTCTCATCACTGATGTTTCTCTCTCTCCCCCCTCTTCCTTCCTCTCTGAAATCAATAAATATATTTAAAACAAACAAACAAAAAAATCAATACATAAAAAAAAAAACCCTGAAAATACAGGAAGTGCTGGGATCACATCATTTCGTTACAATGTTGATGGATGCCAGGAATTAAACTTGTTTTTAACAACTGGCCTGTGGTACACTGATTTCATTGTATGTTGTTTTGCTTAAAGTCCAAGTACCTATCCCAGATGCTCAGTGAGGACTTAAGTGTACTCATGTTTCCGTCCTGACAGTTTCTTAAGATGGAACGCCAATGTCAGTGTAACAATGTCCTCATTTGCGAAACCCAAGAACACACTGTCACACCTCATCTGAAGGCTCCTGCTCATGGCCACTGCCAGAGAGGCTTCTGAGGAAACCCCGTTTCCTGCCATAGGACGTAAGCAACCCCAAAGGCTCGCCGGGGGCAAGCAGCGACACGCACTCTCTACCTCATTGATCTCATTGGTTCTTCTGCCTTCAAAGCTGGCGAACACGGCGCTGCCGTCCTTGCTGGGGGTCACGGGCACAGGTGAGGAGGATCTGCTATGCACAGGCGTTTCTTCGGGAGGAACAGAGGTTAGTTAGTCACTTAGCAGTCACGTGGCTGGGGAGAAAACTGCTGGAAGACTTCCTCATCTCTAGCAATAAGAACCTCCTGTTATAAGACAGCACCTATTAATAGAAGCTACAGCACCATGAACCTTGAAAGCATGATGCTGAGTGCCAGGAGCCACAGACAAAAGGCCACATATTGGATGATTCAGCTGGTAGCCATTCATGCCCAGAGGCAAACCCCTTTAGGGGCAGCAAGCAAGTGGTGGGCGCCCAGCATCAGGGGAGGAGACTGGGGAGGGGGGGGGGTGTGTGTGTGACTGATCACTGGCTTGTGATCCAGAGCTAATCCAGGAGCACTAAACATCCAGCCATAGCAAGCATGTCAAACTCGTCGCCTGCACGCCTCATTGAAATAGACAAAGCATGCGGCCCGCTGGCTGCCAGTCTGACATGCTGGAGCTCCAGAGCTGAAGCCCAGCAGGCTGTCTCTCTGCCCACTGCTCCCAGGTTGTGGGAAAATCCTCCCCATCCTCAGATGGTGGGCACGTGACCCATAACTAATCCAGGAGCACCAAACATCCAGCCACACCAAGCATGTCAAACTCGCGGCCCACAGGCCTCATTGAAACAGACGAGGCATGCGGCCCACTGGGTGCCAGTTTGACATGCTGGAGCTCCAGAGCTGAAGCCCAGCAGGCTTGTGTCTCTGCCCGCTGCTCTCGGGCTGTGGGAAAGTCCTCCCCATCCTCAGACAGCAGGCATGCGTGGCTGGCTGTACAGGCGTCCCCCTTCCCTCCCTCACGCCTCCTGCTGGCCGCGCCCCGGGGCCCAGGAGGGAACCCACTCTTCTCCAGGTGCAGGAACAGCTTGGGCATGCTGGCTGCCGCGTCCTGCTGCCGGCGCTTGGGCTGCGGCGAGGCACTGCTCTCGGACAGCCGGTCGCTGTTGGCGGAGTGGCGGGTGGAGCGCCGCAGCGACTGCAGGGCCTCGGGCTCTGCTTTGCGCCGCTTGGGGGTGGCCGGCTCCCCGGTGGTCTGGCTCTCCGTGGACTGCGGGGTGGACGGGTTCAACAAGGGCGGGCTTGGCGAGAGCTCCTCCTGGCTCCTGCGGGGGAAGGGCACGGTGTGGTGCAGATCCTACGTAACGACCCCTCGCACATAGCGCCCCGGGACACGGGGACCGGAGGTTGGGAGTGGGGCATGGGGACATGGGCGCAGGTCCCCGGGGAGTCGTACGGGCTTCTCCCCTGGGGGGACAGCAACAGGAAAGGAAGACAGGCTGAGACAAGCCATTAGAGGCAGCGAGAGAACCCGGAGGCAGGAGCCGCAAAGGGAGGAGGGAGGAAGGGAAAGGCGCCAAGGGGACGCTGGCAGTGTCCTGGGCGGGCAGGGGTGGCAGTGGCGGGCAGAGGCAGGGGGCGAGCAGGCAGGAGGGGATGGACGAGTGGCCATCACCAGACAGACCATGCAGGTGAGGCGCGAGGGAGACACAGCTTGTGCGGATGGGAGGACGTTAGGTCGGGGGACTCCAGTGTCCCTCCAGGAGAAGAGATGTGGGCAAACTTGGCCAGCGATGGGGCGAACACATTGACACAGCCCCACAGAAGGGCAGGGACCTTGACTTGAAAGCCACAGCCTCCTTCCTGATCAGTGCCTGCTCCAGGAGGCCAAAGCGAGAGGCTCAGAAGCACCTCCCCGCGTCCCACAACCAGCAAGTGAGAGCGCCGCTCAAAATCCAACCACGGGCTCCACGCTGGGACTTACCTACTGGAGCTGGTGGCACTCTCCTTAATGGGAAGGAAAAATTTGGACGAGGTCACCTTTTTGTACTGAACTTGTTCGTACGGATACAGCAAGAGCAACGGGAGCGTATAATCGAAGGTTATTCGCAATCCGTCCACCATCTCCTTACAGAGGTCCACGCTGGGAGGATGAGAAAGAAGCCATCAGAGATGCGAGACACGGAACTTGCCACAGTGTCACCACGAGGCTGTCCATTTTTCATAAGGCCGAGTGTTAAACACTGTATATCACACCCACACACTGAGAATACAATGTGTCTGGAGATGCCAACAACCAAGAATTCAGTGGGAACACCCGCTTGTGCTACAAAGCGCAGAGTCTGTAGTGATTTTAATGCACCCTGAACACACGCATGCGCACAGGGGCCCACAAGGAGCCCAAGCAGCAGGGGCTGCAGAAGGCGGACAGACCCCAATGACTGCGGGCGGAAGGGGCGGGACCCATGAATGCATCACACCTATCTGAACTCAAACACTCCTCTTGTCCAACTCTACGCCCTCCAGCTGAGACATGGGCACTGACGCAGACCGAGGGGACAGTTCCTCAGGCCAGAGCGAAGGCATGTTTGTAAACGGGCTCTGATCAAATCCTCACTGCCCAGTTGGTGCTTCAGCAGTTCCCTCCCTGACTTAGATCACTGAGCAAGCTGGTCTTGGTGTTGCAGCCAGACCAGGTGCAGTTATTGAACATTAAAACAAAACACCTGAAATCGGTGTGGCTCAGTGGATAGAGCATCGGCCTGCAGACTGAAAGGTCCCGGGTTCGATTCCGGTCAAGGGCATGTTCCTTGGTTTTGGGCACATCCCCAGTAGGGAGTGTGCGGGAGGCAGCTGGTTGATGATTCTCTCTCATCGATGTTTCTAACTCTCTATCCTTCTCCTCTCCTCTCTGTAAAAAAAACAATAAAATGTATTTTAAAAAAAACAACAAAACAGCCAAAACCGTTTTTACTCAGTGGATAGAGCGTTGGTCTGCGGACTGAAAGGTCCCAGGTTCGATTCCGGTCAAGGGCATATTGCTGGCACATCCCTGGTGGGGAGTGTGTTGGAGGCAGCTGGTCGATGTCTCTCTCTCATCGATGTTTCTAGTGTTCTATCCCTCTCCCTTCCTCTCTGTAAAAAATCAATAAATATATTTAAAAAAAAAAAAAAAAAAAACCAACAAAACAAAAAGAACATTTTGATACCAAGTTGTATGTTAAGTGACACATTAAACGAATGCATAAGACTGAAATGGAGACAGTGCTGCCTCTTCTAAATAAAAGTCACTTCTCTGCTACAAACTAAGGGACCCAGCCGATGCCAGCCCCCTCCCTCACTCACTTCTTTTCTGCCGGGATGTAATTCGCGTTCATGCTGGCCTGGGCCATGGCGTGGTGATGCCGGGGCCGCTCGTTGGCCGAGAAGGCTGCGTTGATGGCGAAATGCTTCACGTAGGATTCCAGGATGGTGATGATGTTGGTCTGGCACGGGAGTTTCACTAACTGTCAATAAAACAGACATGGCTGCTGCACACCTCCCCCCAGCCCGGCCGCCTACTCCAGCCAACAGTGTCTCTCTACATCGCCTTTTCAGACTCAGAAAGCAAGCTTACTCTGCAGGAAAGAACCTTTTACATAAATACATGTTGAAGCTCTTTGATTAAGGTGACCAGATTGGTCCAAAATCGGGACTTTTTAAAAATGCCTCAGGACGCGGCACAAATTGTTAAAAATCGGGACTGTCCCGCCAAAAGCGGGATGTCTGGTCACCTATCTTTGATGGTTTGTTGCATACCAATGGCGTCACCATGTACATTACAGCATCAATTTTTTAAACAAATGCCAGCAGTGAGGCTTATGTTAGTGATCCATTAGAACAGCGGTCAGCAAACTGCGGCTCTGCTGACTAGTTTGCCGACCACTGTCCTATCCTACCCTTTACCTCTTTGCACACAACATGCCACAACTGCTTAATCCAACTCCACGGTAACATTGAGTCTAGTCCAGTGGTCGGCAAACTCATTAGTCAACAGAGCCGCAGTTTGCCGACCACTGCACCAGAACCACCTGGGGAGCCTTGCAAACTAGTTCCACCCGAGCCCACGTCCTCTTAACCTCTGGGCCAGTGGTCGGCAAACTCATGAGTCAACATAGACTCGCCCAGGCCGTGGTATTTTGTGGAAGAGCCACACTCAAGGGGCCGAAGAGCCACATGTGGCTCTCGAGCCGCAGTTTGCCGACCACTGCCCTAGCGGTTCTCCGGGGCAGTCAGGCAGGGAGAGACCCTGCACGCTTGAATGCCATTAGCAGCAGGGCGCTGCTGTCAGGTAATCGTGAACCCTGCCTGGGTACCCCACTTAACCCAGACGTCCCATCGCCCCAAGGTTAGCAAGGACGGGGCTTGGGGGTTCGTTCTGTCGGACACCATGTGTACCCGCTTCCTCCGGTTGATGTAGTAGCAGTCGTCCTCCAGCTTCCTCTTCAGCACGTCGGGGATGTCTATGGTGATGGCTCTCTCTTCCATCGCCCTCTTCCTGCGCGGCTCCAGCACGACCTTCTGCGACAGGAAAAATGCGTCGTTTTAAATGTCTTACACTCCCAGGACAGGCCACATCCAGAGGACGGATATGATACAAAGCCAGTTAACCCTCGGCATTTCCCCCAGGAACGACACGTGTTCTGCTGAAAAGCGCCTTCAAGGCCACGGTCACTCGCTTTAGGACACTGACCGCATTGCAAACGCTTTCTTCCCCTTTCCATTTCCCAGGAGGACGGAAGGCGGGCAGGAGATGCTTAAGCGGACACACAGCATTTAAAAGCAGTCACCGTTATAAAAACCAAGGCCACCATGCCCCTGGCAAGTAAGAGGTCACTCTGACTCGTGCCAATACTTCATGGCTGTAAGGAGCCACCGAGGGGTCACACGGTGACTATGAATGAGTTACTTTTCATTAAATAGGAAGTTTAAGAACGTATTTTGACAAAACGATTCACGGCCGGAGAGTTCTACCACTACAATCAATACCAAAGAGTGTTCACAATGAGACCTTTACCACTTCAGTCTTTTCTTCAATGTCACTTTCTTCACTTATTGCGCCATCCTTTTCGTCACTGCTGTCACCAGAGGAAGTGCTTACAGCTAGGTGAGACACAAACACCAAGCAAGCCTGGGTTAGCCAATTCCCAGCTCTTCCGGTTCCTTACGGTGGGATGTGTCCTACTGCCGGCATCCACCAACGGCGGTCCTACATCTATTTTAAATGCCCAACGCAAATATCGTCCCTTTCAGAATGGAAATTTTATTTTGAAAAATAGAACACCGATTTCAACGAATGCAAAACACACCCAAGAAAATGATCTTGGCTCAGTGGAGAGTGTCAGCCTGCAATGGACTGAAGGGTCCCAGGTTCGATTCCAGATCAGGGCATAATGCCCAGGCTGTGGCTCCATTCCCAGTGGGGAGTGTGCAGGAGGCAGACAATCCACGATTCTCTCTTATCACGGATGTTTCTCTCTCCCTTTCTCTCTCTCCCTTCCTCTCTGAAATCAATAAAAATGTATTTTAACAAAGAAAAATAAGTAAAGACAATGATCTGGAAGTGTTTAGTCATATAGGATCCCATGGTTACCTGCTGTGTTGGAAAGTGAGGCCCAGGCCCAGGCCCAGGCCCAGGAGGCACCATAAGAATGGACTCTGAGGGATGAGTATAGACCAGTGGTCAGCAAACTGCAGCTTACGAGCCACATGTGGCTTTTTGGACCCTTGAGTTTTTAGCAAAGGCCAGCTTAGGAGGACCCTAATTAAGTTAATAACAATGTACCTACCTATATAGTTTAAGTTTAAAAAATTTGGCTCTCAAAAGAAATTTCAATTGTTGTACTGTTGCTATTTGGCTCTATTAACTAATGAGTTTGCCGACCACTGGTATAGACACTGGCCGAGAAGGCAGAGATTAGAAGCATGTCTGATGAGGACGAATTATGATCTTATTGACTGCTAACTTACTTGCCAAAATCGAAAGAGGCAAATATCATATGTAATGAGCTAAAAACCTTTCCCTGTGTAATTTCAATGATTCCTCCCCCCCTCAGTCCTGCAGTACGTATAAAAGAACTAGGTAAAAGTTCTTTTATTATTACTTTTTAAATAAATTTTTATTGACTTCAGAGAGGAAGGGAGAGGGAGAGAGAGAGAGAGAAAAATCAATGAGGAGAGAGAATCATGGATCGGCTGCCTCTGCACGCCCCCTACAGGGGATGGAGCCTACAACCCGGGCATGTGCCCTGACCCGTGACCAGGATCCTGGTTCATAGGCCGGCGCTCAACCACTGAGCCATGCTGGCTGGGAGGTGAAAGTTCATTTCAGCAGAGAAAATAACTCAGGCCACTCACAGTTCTCATTGCTTTTATCTTTTTCTTCAACGGGGAGGCTTTTTAAGACGGAATCAACACCAGGCAGCCGGCAGCGCTTCTTCTTCCTTCCTGTGCTTCTGGAGGAAAAACAACAACACACGACTGAAATAAATGCTGATGTTGACTGATAAGGGTCTTGAGGTAAAAAAGCAAGATAGAACAACGAAGATTCTTACGCATCTGACACATACGTAAGCTTTAGAACATAAATGGTGATCTCCACTTCAGATTTGTATACTAGTATATATACAATATCCTCTCAGAAAACACAGCGGTTACTTACAACACAGACACTCTCCGCGAACACATTTTTAATAACACGCTTTGTCCTATGTTTACTTTTATACCCTAAAAAGTCTACACATTAAGAGAAACCCATTTGTCAGGATTGTTGTATTCTCACAGGCGAGCTACAGCTTTTCTGGCCAATTTTCGTTGTAATCTCCGATTTTCGTCGGTATCTCGGAGGACATGATCTTCAGCTGCCCACCTATCCCAGCTGCAAAACAAAAAGAAAAGGGTATGAGATTCAGCATGTTAATGAGCTAGAAAACAAATGCCAACAGCACCTCACAGGAACGGAAGTGTCCCAGAATTATTTACATTTGGAAAAACTGTTTAAATATTTTAAAAATCACAAAAGTTGCAAACAAACTGAAAAAGGAACTCATTTAGACATAGAAGCACCTGGGGCTCCCAGAATTACCCAGAGAAGTCAAATAGAATCCACTTAAAAGTAATCATGCTTCTGCATGGGCAAAGTTTGACTTAAAAAAAGCAAAAAGAAGACAGGAAACTTTTCTACAAGTGTTTCTAAAACTTAACAAAACCCAACGTCCCTGTGCTGCAAAGATGATCAATTTTCAGCCAGGGCTAACAAATACACTCACCTTCTGTTCCAACCATTAAAATGGATTAGATATTCCGGGATCTTTCTGCCTTTTTCGTCTTTCCCAACAATAACATCCACAATCTGAAACCAGAAAATATTGTCCACAAATGATTGAATATACTGAACCCTGGAACATAGGTCAGGAAAACTAGATCATAGACCTTTTTTGAAAGGAAAAGGAAGTATTCGCTCCTTTTTTAGACCGCGAGCTGTGCTGAAACATTTTTCCTTTCAATTCCATTTTTTTCCTGACTGGATGCCTCAAAAAAGGAAACATCCCTCCAAACTCCCCGTGATTGGTCTCTGCGTGCGGGACTGGGTGCATCTTTCAAAGCCATTGGCCAGCCAACCTGTCAGTAAAGAAGAGTCCTGGCCAAACAGGAGAGCTGCGGCCCTGAGGCCTCTGGGAGTTGTAGTTTCTCCAGCTCCGCAGTGTCCCGAGCCCCCACCCTTCCAGTGGTGTCCCCAGAGGGAACATCTGGGGCAAATGATGGGGCGTGTCACCCCAGGGGATACTCAGGGCGGGGAAGGAAATCAGAGACAAGGGTTGCCGGGGCGGAACCCTAAAATATAACCCACAGAACCCGGAGTCCTTGGTAAGTCCCCCAGTGGGCAGCGCTGCTCGGACGCACCTGGGACCCCCGGCCAACCCCACCACCAGACTGCGATGCCCACTCCCTCTCGCCATCCAGGCCTGAGGGGCTACAAATGTGACTCAGACCCCCGCGAGTCCCCTGATGGGCAGGGGGTGCGATTTGGAGACTGAAAACATAAAGGCCCTGAAGGAAAATAACTGGGTCAGCCTAGCCCTTGGACCCTACGGGAGGGTCCCGGGCACGACTGGGGCCCCGGGACAATGACGTCGCGAGTCGACAGGCAGCGCTGTGGCGCTGTGGATTAGGACCTGGGTCGGTCGATCACGATGTCACACGGAAGCCCACGAGGCGCTCCGCGCAGGACGCAGAGACTTAAGGATCCATTCCGCGAACGGTTTCCTGGACACGCAGCCCACGCTGCGGTCACATGAACAATCGACGCACGGCGAAAACCTCGCGACACCTCAGACGCGAGCTTTCGGGCCGCGCGTGCGCAGTCCCATCTGCCGGCCGGAAGCGGAAGCACTCCTGCCCCGAGTCCCCAGCGCGGCGCCCGCGAACGCCCCCTGCCTTCCGCGCGGCGCGGCGCAGGCCCAGGTGTCACAGGCAGAGAGCACCCAGGCCCGGCCGCTTCCCCTTCTCCCCGCCGCCATCCGCGCCCGCGCCCACACCCGCATTCCGACGCGGGGTCCCCGACCCGCGCCTCCTCCCTGTCCCTCCGCGGCGGCACCTTGGCATCGTACAGCACTCGCGCCTTGGTGGGGTCAGGCTCGAAGCACAGGACTTTCTCCCCTGAGTGGAATTTAAATTTCATGCCCTCGCTCGCGCTCATTTGCTCATCGTGGCGGAGGGCGAGGCTCCGGGGCGGGCGGAACGCGCGCGGTGGGGGACAAGGGGGGGCGGGGAGGTGGTGCACTGCGGCGGGGGGTGGGAGGGAGGGAGCGGGGAATGGCGGAGGCTGCGGCCGCCCCGCCCTCGGTCCCGCCTCTGCCCGCCCCGAGTCGCTGCTGGACCTCGAAATCGCGGATCGCGAGCTCTGTCCCCACCCCCGCCCACCCTCAGGGAGCCCCCGCGAGTCTCCCCCGGGCTCGGGCAGCCCGCGATCGGAGAACGCCAGCCATAGGCAGGGCTGCCCGCCGAGCAGCCGCTCCCGCCCTCGTGGGAAAGGCAGCTGACGCGGGCTGCTCCCACGATGTCATCGCGCCGCGCGCGCGCGTTGTAGCGGAGTGTGGGAAGTTGTTGGGGGAGAGCCGGCCTGGGGTGGAGCTGGCGTGGGGAGGCCCGCCGGCGGCTGCCCTCCAGCGGCTGCTCGTCAGGATGTGGTCCCGCCGGCCACCTCCCCGGAGCCGCGCGTCGCCACGTCTGGCTGCAGGAGCAAGACCTGGGGCTGGAGTGGGGTCTAGATGGGCAGTGGCTTAGGGCTGAGAGGGTTGCGGGGTGGCGGAGGATGGTGAGAGAGTGGATCAAACACTAAGGCAAACCTGGGCAAGGACGAGCCGGTGGCAGGCCTGGAGCCCGTAGTGACAGCGGCGAGCAGTGGGCACGAGTCATGGTCGACCAGGTCGTTAACATCTTGTCTAGGCGTTCAGCATGGCTCCCCGCCCCCCCCCCGCCCCCCCCCCCCCCCCCCCAGCTCTCAAAGTTGCTCCCTCGCCGCCTGTCTTCTCCAATTCACCGAGCACCCCAATGGTGGGAAGTACTGGTAGGCTCCTTGCCAAGTGCCTACACGGAGGGGTCTGGGGGGACTTGATGACCAAATGACAAGCGCGGGGAGGCGCCTTGAAGGGCAAACTTCCAGAAACCGAAAAAGACCGGATGCTGTTTTTTTAGCAGCGCTTTTTTTTTTTTTTTTTTAATCAAATTTCCCCCTTCCCTTCTGTTCAGGAATGGGAAGTTTCTGGGCAGTGCAGTGCTGGATTAAGACCCGGCTGGGGCCAGCTGGGAGGCTCTGAGGTCGTAGTGAACTGCCAGTTCTCCACATTCTGGGCTCTGTGCTTGCCTCCAGAACTGTGCACTCGCCTCCCCTTCCCTGACTTTCTGGTACACATCGCTCACCTTTCAGGTAGCACATGGCCACAAGAGCAGCCCACAAGCTTCCCTAGATGCGTCATATGCCCCTTCCAACCTCCCCCCCCCCCTCCATTTCTTGCATTGACTTTCTGCTCAGCAGCAGATTCTCCTTTGCAAAATGCCCTGTTTCAGGGGCTCAGCTCCTTAAGGCGGGGAGGGCGGGGCTGGGGAGCACCTTCAGTGCCTCACTGCACACTCCTAACACACAGTGCATATGTAACGAATGAACAGGCGACAGATTTATGAAATAGGATCCACCAAACTCAGTATCCAATTGGATGGGAAGTGGCAGAGGGAGGAATCTTGGGAGACTTACAGATTTTTGGATATGAGTTGGGTGAATGATAGGTCCATTGGCCAGGAGAAGGACTACCGGAGGAGGGACAGGTTGGGGGGGAAGTCAGCCACATGATACAGTGGAGAAGCCAGAACTGGAACCACAGTTTCCCTTCAGGCTGTGGTTTATCAGGGCTGAGATCTTCACGGTGGGGTTCCCCATACAGGACAGGAAGAGTTCTGGGGCACAAGTCATTGCATATTATAGCTAAACCATAACTGAAATGTTAGCCTTTTACTTCTTCTGGCTGGTGAACGGAGATTTCCTCTTCAGACTGACCTTTCAGAGAAAGACTTTAGATGCTTTCTTTTGTTTCTCTCCATTTCCACCCCTTCTTATGTCCTTGAGCAAAGCCTTTGCCCCTTAAAAAGTCCAAGAATGCAGAAGCCCTGGGGATCCTAAAAGTGACAAATCCGATCAGTGGCAGCCTCCCTTGCAGCCCTCCTCCAGATTAGCAGCCTCTAGAGGTCTCTATCTCTAACATGGCGAGAGCATTTTTCCCCCTCTTGGGTGTAGAGGTAAAAAGCATGGGTGGGCTCTGGCATGGGGTCCCACATTTGTCACTTCCTAGTCTTGTTACTGAACTCAAGCGGTTCAGTGTTGAAGAACCAGGTGCTGTTGCCACAAAGTAGTTTTATTTATTTATAGCAAGTAAAGGAGAGGGGATTCACACCCAAAGCTCTGGCTCCCTGAATTGTTTCCTTGCAGCTGGCTCCATGTATCCAGTTGCCTACATGTATCCAGTTGAGTACCCCTCAAGCTCATCCTAGAACAGCTGCAGCTGCAGAATACTGTGCTACATTTTAACATTTAGAAGAAGAATATTTGGTAATAATATTTAGAACTGTCTGGACCTTGAGACCCTGTCCCATCTAATAGTTTGTGACCTTAGTCTCTTGCTGAGGCAGTTTTCTGACATTTACTTATTTTTAAATAAGTTATTTTTTAAAAACTCAGAGAGACAGGGGAGAAACCAAGATGGTAACATAGGTAAACACCTATACTGCTGCCTTGCACAATTTCAAAACTGCAACTGGAAGACAGAGCTGACATCGTACAGAACCAGTGGAAAGCGCTGGCTGAGTGGAAATTCTACAACTAGAAGGAAAGATAAAAGGACACCGAGACCCAGAGGAGCTGTGGAGGACAGAGGTGCAGAGACCCGAGTGCAGAAATAGCAGGCGGCTGAATACGCAGCTGGCTTACTCAAGGTGTGCAGAGAGGGCAGGCAGTAAGCGTGTGGCTAGCTGTCTCATTAGAGAGGGAAACAAAACCTCCTGACTGCACTGAAATCCAGTTCCGGGTGAGACTTTGGGTATCCAGATTCACTTGGGGAGAAACTGGACTGTCTGGAAGCAGGTGAATCTCAAGGGCAGCCTTCTCTCATATGTGCATGCAGCTATTGCCATGGGACACTGAAACACAGGGGCCTCGTAGGGTGGGGCTGATGGGAAACCAAGGCTGTCTGCTCCACCCTGAGACTCTGCCCCATCCAAACTGAGTACAGAAACTCTCCCAACAGACACAGCTGATCCTCATAGCCAATTGGCCTGGAAGTCAACTTTCCCCAGTGATAATAATAACACTCTAGGCTTAACAAGACTTCACACACAGCCCACAAAGGGGTGCACCAAGAGTGTCCACCTCAGGTAACTTGGGAGGCAGAGCCACTGGGCCCCGGCTAGGACGCCTAGCACACAAAGCCACTCCATCAACTCAGGGAAGCAGCCAAAATTCAGAGACAAAGAGGCAGGTCACAAATGAAGGAAATGGAGGAAAACAAACAACTGAATATAGAGTTCAAAACCACAGTTATAAGGTTTTTCAAGAATTTCCTAGAAAAGGCCAATAAATTTAACAAATCCCTTGAGGATATGAAAAAGTATCAACTAGAAATTAAGCATATATTGAATGAAATAAAAAATATTATACAGAGACCTAGAAGCAGACTAGAGGATTGCAAGAACCAAGTCAAAGATTTGGAATACAAAGAAGCAAAAACACTCAACCAGAAAAGCAAAAAGAATCCAAAAAGTTGAAGATAGTGTAAAAAGCCTCTGGGACAACTTCAAACGTACCAACATCATAATTATGGAAGGTCCAGAAGAAGAGAGAGAGCAAGATACTGAAAAACTAGAGAAACAGTGACCAAAAACTTCCCCAACCTGGTGAAAAAAAATAGACTTACAAGTCCAGGAAGCACACAGAACCCCAAACAAAAGAAATCCAAAGAGGATCACACCAAGACACATCATAATTAAAATTCCAAGAGCAAAAGACAAAGAGAGAACATTAAAGGCAGCAAGAGAAAAACAATTAGTTACCTACAAGGGAGCGCCAATACAATTGTCAGCTGATTTCTCGACAGAAACTATGCAGGCTAGACGGGAATGGCAAGAAGTATTCAAAGTGATGAATAGTAAGAAACTACAACCAAGATTACTGTATCCAGCAAAGTTATCATTCAGAATTGAAGGTCAGATAAAGAGCTTCACATATAAGAAAAAGCTAAAGATAAGGAAGAAGAAGAAAAAGATAAAGATAAAAATTATGAACAACAAATATGTACCTATCAACAAGTGAATCTAAAAACCAAGGAAATAAAAAATCTGATGAACAGTATTAACTGGTGAATATAATAGAAACAGGGGCATAGAAAGGGAGTGGACTGACAATTCTCAGGGGTGTGGGGGGTGCAGGAAGAGACTGGACAAAAAGTGTACACCTATGGATGAGAACAGTGAGGGAGGAAGGTAAGGGCAGAGGATGGGGTAGCAACCTGGTGGAGGGGAAATATGGGGGGGCGGGGAAATAGAAACAATTGTAATAATCTGAACAATAAAGATTTATTAAATTACAAAAAAAAAATAACTAGGAAAAAAAACAAACCCTCAGAGCGACAGGGAGAGAGAGAGGAAGAGAGAAACACTGATGCAAAAGAGAAATATCAGTCAGCTGCCCCCCTCATGTACCCCAACTGGGATGGAGCCCACAATGTGCACATGTGCCCTGACCCAGAATCAATCCGAAGACCCTTCTGTGCATAGGCTGATACCCAGCCTTCTGAGCCTCCGGGCCAGGGCCAGTGTCCTTCCTAGGGCTGTGTTAGGAAGAAGCCAGTCTGTTCCGTGCACATGCTTTTGTGTAGTGTCTGGCATAACATAAGTGCTAGGTGAAGGCTTGCTATTAATATTCCCCAGCCATTTCTCCTTGTCCGCCATTCCTTCAACAAATATTTATTGAGCCTCCCTGTGCTGAATGCTCAACACACACAGAAGAACACATATGACCCCCAAAATAAAACATCCTCTGAAAATAAGACCTACTTACAGGTTTCCTTCTGAGTGAAATATAAGGCATCCCCCCTCGAAAATAAGCCCCCCCCCGGCTCTGTCTCAGAATGAAAATTAATTTACAGTAAACTG